CCTGGGATAGTTCTGCACCTTTCCCTCTAACTGTGGGTGCAGTGGATGAGTATTTGCAGTGGTGTCACATGTACTCTGTCGTGTGGAAATGGTGTTGGCCAGTCTGGTTTTAGTAATTAAAGTTTAAAAAGATACTTATTTTATTTTATGTGTATGGTTGTTTTGCCTGCATGCATGTTTGTGTGCCAGGTGGGAGCCTGATGCCCATGGAAGTCAGAAGAGGGTATCTGACCCCTGGAACTGGAATTCAGATGGGTGCTGAGAATCAAACTCTGGCTCTCTGGAAGAACAGCCTGTGCTCTTAACTGCTGAGCCATCTCTCCAGCCCCCACTTTGGACTTTAGGGTAAAAAACCTACATTAATCCAGTCTTGCTTTTCCCACACCAGGGAGCTGGTGGTGCTAGGCTTGCCCATCTCAGAATTGGGCCGCTTTGGTAGGTTGTTTTATGACTTAACTCTAGCAGAGATTGGGCCTCTTAGGGCTCAATACTCAGCAGCATCTGCCTCCCAACTCTTGGCTTCTTCCTAGACCTGCAAATTTGTAGGTTTTAATTTGAAAATTTCTGCATGGAATTATTATAGCTTTACTATGACCTCAAGACTTCCCCACACTTTATTAGCTGCTGGGACCTGGCAGAGTCAGAGCCACTGTTGGCTATGGGGTGGGGGCTGACATCCTAGATTCTGTCCTATGCTATCCATCCAGGAAAGGCCATAGTTGGTTAAGACTGTCAGGAGCCCTCCAGGCCACACATGGGAAGCCAAGCATGAGGCTTCTTACTGCTTCTGGCAGGCATGTGTCTTCCCAGCCTGGGACAGAAAAGCTATCTCTGATGCCTGGTCCTTGGTCCCAAAAACTGAATGTGTCTTCAAACCCTTCCCATTCTCTCCTCCCACTATCTCTCCCTCCTCATTCTTTCCTTCCAGTCAGAATTCAGAGCCACAGAAGCATCATAGATGCCCCCATCCCCTCCCCCTCCCCCAAACTCTCCTCTCATCCTCTATCCCCCTCTGGATTTCTTGCAATGATTCCATACAGAGATTTAGCATATTTATGGAGAAGCTTCTAAAGATCTAAATCATCAATAACAACTAAAAACGTCTTTTTGAGCCCTTAAGATTGCTGGCAATACCTAGAACCTTTGATGTCAAAAAATAAAGCAGTATACCCAGTGAGTATCTGTTGTAAGCGGTGTCTGCCAGCATGCCAGGAACCAGGTGGGAAAGGTCAGGGGAGAGTAAGGGTGGGGTGGGGGCATGCTCCAGAGTGATGCTGGATGAACTGGGATCATGCTGATCAGGTTCCAGGTAGCATCAGCTGTTCTAAAGTGACTGTTCTGGCCAGTTTCCCAGAGAACACAAGGCTCTCTTGCACATGTGGATGTATGCATGTCTGGTACTTAGTGCTCAAGGACTTGGGCCTCAGTCCCTGAGGCAGTCTCATCATACATGTCTTGGTGGCACCATGTGGTAATGGGCACATTCATCATCCCTGTGATGTCCCTTTGTTCTGCATAGTGTGCTATTTTTTTTTTTTTTTGTCTTCTCCATACAACACTTGTATTGTCTGGGATCAGATTCCATACTTGCCAGTCATCTCAGAGATGTTCCATTTCTTTTGAGACATCAAGTGCTGAGAGAGACACAGGGATGGAAGGAGCAGGTATGGAACCATTTGCATGGCTAATGGCACTCTCTTCTCAGATTGCTATTGGTGGCTGGAGATACTTCTCGAGGTCTCCACAGCACAGGACCTGGGCAGCTTTGGACAGCAGTGAGAAATAGCTATCTGTTCAGCTCTGGTACCATCTTTCTATGGAGAGGCCTAGGGACCCCTCACTATCCAGGTGCAATGTTGACCCCCTGCTTAGCCTGGCATTTGTTAATTTACAGTCTTTGAGAAAGCTGCAGGGAACAGGTGGTTGGTAAATTCAAGCATAAAATTATACATGAATGGTAGATGTGTTTTCAAAGTGGATTCCATGGAGCTATGAGAGCGTCTTATGGTCTGCGAAGTCTGTCCACATCTAAGTGTCCTGCAGGAGGCAAGACCATTGTCTTCTTGGATGTCCTAGCATGAAGCAGACATGGACCAAATCTTCTGGATGTCTGCTAAAAATACATATCAGAGACATCCAGAAATGGTCATCAGAGGCGAGATTCTCACTTGAGTTTGGTTAGCATTGCAAATAATTTATTTCGCAACTATTATCTTCAAAGACATTTGTTTAGAGCTTCTTAGTGTGGGTGCTTTTGGGCAAATGTCAACAGCTTATAACCCACCTGTGGGAAGGATTTTTGATATGGCTTTGATTATTTCCAGACGTTAAGGGGACCTGAAATGGAGCTGTTTGAGAAGTGTTTTTTAAAAGTTTTAAAAATTATTATTTTTTATTTTTTGAAATTTTATTTATATAATGGATATTGATCATATCCATCCACCATTGCTTCCCTCCAACTCCCCCTAGGTCCCTAAACCATCTCTATTCCAATTTCATGTCCTCTTTTTCATTGCTATTAACACCTCCAAATCTAATTAGTGCTACCCATATGTGCATGAGGCCACCAGCTGCAGTATGGGCAACCTGTCAGCAGCTATGTTCCCAAAGGAGAGTGACCCTTTCTCCCTCAACACACACTAACTGCCTGCATCTCCTCCAGTAGGGGTACATCCTCTGGGGCCCCTGACCCATCATTTGACCAGCTTGATCTTTTTTTTTATTTTTTTTTTGTTTTTTTTGAGACAGGGTTTCTCTGTGTAGCTTTGGAGCCTGTCCTGGCTCTTGCTCTGGAGACCAGGCTGGCCTCGAACTCACAGAGATCCGCCTGCCTCTGCCTTCAGCCAGCTTGATCTTATACAGATAACCATAGCTGCTGTTAGTTGATCTGGATGTGACATGACTGTCTACACAAGTTAGCATTTTGCAGATTTCCTCCACATCCTGTGGATCTTGCATTCTTTCTGCCTCCTCTTCTGTGAAGTTCCTGAGCCTTGGATGGTGGAGGTTGACAGCGATGACCTACCCATAGCTGAACACTGAGTGTTATTGTACTCAGTCCTTTAGCCATTTATGAGTCTTTGTGTTAACCACTACCCACTGTAAAAGGAAGCATCTTTGACCAAAGTTGAGAGAAGCCAAAATCTATTGTATAAACATAAATATTTAGAATATAGTACAGTTTGATAGTATGACCATTTAAGGAAACAGCAACAGTAAGTTCCCTGCTAGGGACTATGGTCTCTCCAGTCATGGGATTTTGACTATGTATAGAGCACCAGGAATGAATTCCCTCCTGTGGAGGGGGCTTCATATCTAGTCAGAAAGTGGTTGATAACCCGCATAACCATTGCGCCACTATTGCACCAGTGGGCATATCTTGCCAGCAGGTCAGTATTGTAGCATGTGCATCCAGCACTGGGTAAGACCATTGATGCTTTTCCCCCCAGCAGTCTGCATAACTCCTTCTGGCATTGTGCAAGCTAGCCAGCTGGGACTGTTTCCTGGGTGAGGTTGATTTCTATGTCCTGCATCCAAAGTGAGTGGTGTCTTCAGCAATAGGGTCTTACCATTGGTTATTGTGAGCAACCAAGAGCAATTCTCATGGCATGTGTTATTTGGGGTACCTCTGGGGCCTCTAGGACCATTAACTCAGAGAGAGGTATCCAGTGCTTGGCACTGAGATTTTCATTTGATAACCCCTGTCTTTTGGAAGCATGTCATCTACCTATGCAGGGCACATCTGTTCAAATCATTTAAAAATAAATAGTACATTTTTAGAAACTAAGTTAGAAACTATTCGATTTCATATCTTTTTTTTCATAGATCTTTAGTTTTGCTAACCTGCCCACAACCCTATCCTTTCCTGAGTCTCCATATTCTTACTTAAGCCTTTAATCACAAATGTTTTCCCCTCATGACATCTGTGTTCTACTATCCCTTTTAACTGAAATACTTTTAAATTTTTTATTTTGCATATGTGTGGGAAGGGTGCCGTGGTGTGTGTGTGTGTGTGTGTGTGTGTGTGTGTGTGTGTGTGTGTGTGTTTAGAGGCCAAAATATTCTCTCCTTTCACCTTATGAGCCCTGGTGTTCAAACTCAAGTGGTCAGGTTTGGTGGCAAATGCCTTTACTCACTGTGTCATTTTCCTGGCTCTAAAATTGAATATTCTAATGATTTCCTTGAAATAAAAAATGACAGTCATAATGATATGTGGGTCTGCCAGCATGTGTCAGGTTTCAAATAGTGTGTGACTGACTCTTGATCCTTACTGAAATTCACCCATCCTTCCTGGGGGGCTGTCCCAGATCTTCCACCAGGTCCCATGCCACCTGCATGGATGTTCAAGGGAAAAATGTGAGTGATTCCCCTCAGAGGTGCTTTGACAGCATGGGCAGTCTTAACCTGAATATCCAAACTGTGAAATTCTTTCAAAGCCAATACTTTGAGCATCATGTGACAGTCAAAAACTTTAGGAATTTGAAGCTTTTAGATTGGGTATGCTCAGCCAGCAAAGTCTATGTCAGTCTTTCTAAACCCGACAATAAAGAAAAAAGATCTGAAGTGCTGCTGGCTCTTAGCATTTCAGATATGGGGGACACTCAGCATGCATTCTTCACATCTTAATATAAATGAGAAAATGTGCTCCAGGGTGGGAGGCTCAGAGCTGCAGGGACATCTGTATGGGTATGGCATCCTTCTAGATTGCATGCCTTCCAGAAGGGCTGGACCATAGTTGGGGTTGGGGGCACTGTGTAAGTTAAGTGTATGGGGGTGTATTCCTAATAGGTGGCCTTACTCCTGGACCTTGAAGGCCCAGTTAGTGTTGGCTCAATGGAGAAGGTGGGAGAGATTCATGATCCCGGTAGAAAGAAGTGAGGTTATTGGGGGCTGTGAGGGCAGCACCCTTATGAGCCTGACCCCGGCCACTGAAGGTCATACACAGACATGCTCACAAGTAGAAACTCTGCCAATGATCTTGTGCTGTGCTTTTCCCAAAGGAGAACCACTGTCGCCGCATCAAGATCCTTGGGGACTGCTACTACTGTGTGTCAGGCCTCACCCAGCCCAAGACCGACCACGCCCATTGCTGTGTGGAGATGGGACTTGACATGATCGATACCATCACGTAAGTGTTGCACTGTCACCACGTCTGTCTAGGTCTGCAGAGGCAAAGGCAGCAGTAGGAAGGAGCTGGGTCAGAGTGACCCACATCCATTGGCAGGTGATGCTTAGGTGAGCCCTCCTCTCAGTTTACGATGAATTTCTCTGTCCACAGAAATCCTTTCTGTGTCTAGTGTGCCCAGAAGGGACCTTTGTAACTGAGCTCAGTGAGGCACTGAGGAAGGCTGAGGACACAGGCCCATGCAAAGCCAGCCATTGTTCTTCCGGGCAGCTGATTGCCTCTGGTGCTCCGTGGGGAGAGGGCCCTGAAGTCTGGGCATGTGAGTTCCTGTGGAATTGGTTCTCTTGTGAGACCCAAACTGCCTTTTCTTGGTCAGCCTGGGCTATCCTTGTCACAGATGGAGATGGATTCCAGTGTGGGACTGATGGACAAAGGTAGTTCCAAATCCAGACATCTCAGATGGAGTGTCGGGTTGTCACCATGAGATGTTTTCAGGGATTGGTGTGAAGTTCATGCTTAGAGGAAAGTACTGGCATACAAGTTATTCAAGGAAGATGTAAAGTGGCTGCCATATGCCAGAATGCACACAGATCATCCACACAGGTGGGGCTTTGGAACAGGAATGAGCCAGCACACGTATTTTACCAGGTCCTATTTGGTGTGACCTGATTCAGGTACAATGAGGCTTTGTAGGTGTGAGCTCTGAGACAGGGGATGTACTACTCAGATCCAGGAATGCTAGGTGGGTGCTCCAGCTGACTGGGGTGACCAGGCAGCTCACAGTGGCTTTGAGCCCTACAGGCTGGATGCCCTTCCTCCTGTACTCTCTGGCAGCTTTACTGCCCACTTGGCCTCTCCGTGGTCATGAGCCTCATTTCTCACATGGGGCTCGGGCCCTCCTTTCCTTTTAGTTTCTCTTGTGAGGTCGGCTTGCTCTTCGATGCTAAGGCACTTCTGTGGTGTGCCACGTCTGCCTGCTGAGGCTGAGATGGTATCTTACCACCCTGCTTAATGCCATGTGCTTCATGGTCTCCTTGCTGTTCTTTCAGTATTGCAGCTAGAGCTCTCTGATTCTGTGTCTCTGGCTCTGTCGTGAGAAACTGGAGAGCCCTGAGGCTTGGCAGCCTTGTCCTAGCCTTCCTGGACTGCTTTCCACTCCATCTTAAAGTCCTACAGCCCCAAGATGCCACGAGCCTAGAGTCTTCCTGAGACCTGAATTTCTGGCTCTGGACTGAAGGGAACAAGCAGCTGAATTCATCCAAGAGACTGTTAACAGCCCTTCTTCCTGTGGGAACTGCACAGAGCCAGGGATGGTCCATGTGTGCTTGGATCTCCCAGGAAGATTCCATATGGCAACTGGCACCTTCCCTGCTGGCCATATCAGCCTGTGTGTGTCCCTGTTTCAGAGGGGTGCACAGAAACACGCAAGACAGAACATGTTTATCAAGAGGGCAGGCATGTCCAGGCAAGCAGGGTATTTATGTGGTTTTGCTCTTTGACTTTGTTGAGCATCTGAGAGCTTTGGAAACACTGTGATTCTTGAAGAAGAACTTGGGAGAACCAGTTATGTGCTAGAGCACATACATGTGCAGAATGCCATGCTGAGCCATGTGCTGTATGCCCCAATTGGACGGGTGGGCAGTGCCTATGCCCCTAGCTGCATCTTCCTTCTGTCTGGAACCATCTGGACCAGGAGTGCCTCCCAGTATCTAGAGGAAGCTAGAGGGCTTCAAGGGTTTGGATTCTTTGATTCTGAAATGATGTCTTTTTCAAAATGTCCTTGAGTGGCAGACAGTGTGTCCCAGTGACTAGTAAACAGTAAGCCTGTGGGCCAGAAATGCCCATTTTTAGGGGTCACAGGTCTTCTGTGGGTTTGAGAATTCTGACTGGGCGAGAGCTTTCTGAGACTCGAAGACCAGTGTGGTTATTGGGAGATTCTGGAACTATTTCCTGCACATCTCTAGGATGCATGGCACAATGGTGGAACATGCTGGGGAGGCCACAACCCCCTGACCCAGCTGGGTTGGGCTCAATGATCAATTAAGAATAAACGAGGCTTTACAGGCAGCACCTGTGCCAGACTGCCAGCTAGCTGGTGAAAGCATGGCAATTCATTTCAGCACATTTGAATAGGATGGGCCTGTGCAGGAAAGCAGCGTGGACTAGAGGAGGAAGGCCTACAGTCGGGGCGCTGCTGAAGGTGTGGATGCAGATAGAACTCTGCTACACTGGTCCCGATTTCTTCCCAGACTGGAGGGGTCAGGACCCTTTCCTGTCAATGGCTGTATAACAATCCAGTTATTTTGCTTCCTAGACTGTTCATTCCTGTGGGGAAAATAGACACACACATTCACTTTAGTTTTCTTTTCTAACCTTTAAACTCAGGCATTCCATGCCTGTTTTCTTGTCATTGATTGGTTCAGAGGTCAAGGGCATTGTTTGTCTAAGGTCTTCAATCACAGACAGCTCTGGAGTGGATCCAGAATGGGACAGTGAGGCCTCCTGAAGTGTAGGGCATTTGTGTTTGTTCCTCACCTTACATCCCTGCAATGCAAAACCCAAGAAGAAAGGGCTTTAGGGCCACCTTCTCCTATCCTAAGGGCGAGGCCACCCCTCTTCCACCCCTGCTGGCCTTATTTTGATGGGCATCTCAGGAATGTCTATGCTCTCAGGCTCCAGGATAACCCCTCCTAAGCTCTGTTCCCAGATGCTCTTGAGGGTAGGCTTCTGGGACAGAGGTCACTGGAACTCTTCTAGTGGTGAAGTAGTTGAGCCTCTCCTCCCCCCACCCATGGTCTGTGCCTCCTCCCTTTTCTGCTTATACTCCTCCACTCCCACAGTGGACCAGACCTCCACTTTTCCTGAATGACACCAGGTTGCTGTGGATATAGAGGAGCTTGTGGGTTCCTGGTCCCCAGCCTGGGGTGATGAAGCATTCCTCGAGCATTTCATCCTTTGGCTGTGAGTGGAGAAGTGGTGGTTGTAAGGACTGAGTGGGAGGATTTCAGCAGCTTCAGCTCGGGAGGGGATGACTCACCAGCTTCCAGATGGAAGGAGCCATCCCAAGAAGAGGGAGGCCTCTGCTGCGGGATTTCCCCAGGATTCCCTCTGCTGTGCTGCCCATGGTCCTGTTCAAGTCTGTCCACGTCACAGGGAAGCCCCTGCTGGCACAAGTGAGATGAGAACAGTGACCTAATTATTCTTCCACATGCCTTCCAAGTGCACAAAGTGCTTTTTTTCCTAACTAGATGTTATCTAGCCATGGCCTTGCTCTGGAGCTGTGTGTCTTTCAGTTGCTAGGCTGAATTGGGAAATGCATGGGTTTTCCCCCAGTGACCTAGCTCTGAGTTGGTGAGAACAACTTGTGCCATCAGTAAGTCACTGGTGGACGCCCATGGTCTCTAGGCTAAATACCTAGGCATTTCTTTCTTAAGCTGACTGAGTGTGAGCCACAGCACACGCCACAGTTTCTCAGTACAGACTAACCTTGAGGATTGCTTTGTCTAATTACTGGATCCTGGTTTTTAGAGTCATCCCAGTAGATTATGTTTAATTGGAGTTTTCTCTGGGGTAGAGGATGCTGTATATACTTCCGAATTTCTACTCACAACAAAAAAATCTATTGTAATGTTTAGGGGATCTGGAGATTCTGAGCCTGTATATTATAGCCAATGCTTGCATTTTTACAGATAGTGAAACCAAGGTCTTGGAGGGGAAGTTAGGAGCCTATGTGTTGAGGGTACAAGTTTAAATAGATGGGGCAGAAGGAGTTGCTGTATTCTTCTATCATACTAGGATGGAGGCTGGGGGCTGCCTCAGACAAATGTGTTATCATTGCTTCTGGGAAATTCTGCCTAGATGACAGCAAATCCCTTTTTTTAGAGTGCCCATTCTTCCCTCTTTATTTTTTCTGTTGTGTGCATAGCTGTATCCATAGTGCTTGTAAGAATGGCTGAGCGAAGGGAATTCAGTAGGTTCTTGTTGAACAGAACACAGATTCTTCCTTTCATCTGTGCTTGAATTTTATGTCGGCCAGGATCTGTGTACACAGAGAGGGAGGATGGATCTGTACCTCAGGGTTGGCTGCTTCCTATTGGGATTCAGAACCAAACAGGGTCAGGACCACATTGTTCCTTCATAGAAAATACTTGTAATAAGTAAATCGCTCTGAGACCATAAATAAGAAATATAGGATAAAGCAGACAGGGTGTGGAAATCCTGGTGTCCTGGAAATGAAATAAAAGGTTTTGTTGGATTTGGACAAAACATGCCTAGGTCTAAGGGAGCCAAGAGGAGCCACAGGGAACAGCCGGATGTGCTGTTTCTTTAGAAGACACTCTCCAGGGTGCTATGGATTTCATCGTGCCAGCCTTGATATACTAGAGGCAGAAGCTGCCAGGAAAGGCTGAGTGTTGGCAGGTATTGGGTGCCAGACATGGGGGCCTTGTGGGCTTCTGCGGATCCCAGCTCCCGGGGATCCAAAACAACTGGTTTGAGAGGCTTAAGGGAGTTTGTGGGCATTTGTGGACATGGGCTAAAGTATGTCCCAGCATTCCCCTGGCTGCCTTACGTTTTGTGGCTGCAGAAATGGAAATACTGAGTGTGCTCTAGAGTATGAAGAGCAGGTGGCTCCACAAACTTTGCTCATGTGGGTTTGGAGATGCTAATCTTCTCTTTAGGGTTTAATTTCAGTGTCTTATCAGAGATTGGCAGACAACTGGGAATGAAGTTAAAATTAAAGACTTAGTAATAGTCTGGCTTCCACATGCACCTCTGGGGTCACACAAGGAATTCAGAGCCCTGCTCGTAGGCTGCAGCTCACTCTGGCATCTTGCTTACTCAAGCACAGAGGCAGGGGCAGCTGTCCTGTTTGGAAGACAGGGGAGTCCAGAGGGTGTGGGGATATGCAGGTGTTCAGGTGGGAGCAGGGTGGGCAGTTTGTAAACACAAGTAACAGTGAAGGTTAGCCAGATGCAGGGCAGGGTCAACACATACATGCCATTTTATTACTGAAAATGTGACCTGCAGCGTCCTCCTAGGTGACACCGCAGAGCTGAAGTGGAACAGGCAGAGGCTCACTGAAGGCTGCACTGTTTGCCATATGGTCACACACCTTCAGTGACAAGGGGATGGTGTTCTTCCTGGAGTCCTTCATGGAGCATACCTTGGTGTTCTCCATTAGTGGAATAGAAAAAGCTGGTAGGAAGTGCTTTGCATCTCCTGCAATGAGGTGTGCCAGGATAGCTCTGAAGCAATCTCAGAGATTGTTAGAGCTAATGTTGGCCAAGCCAGACTCAGATGCTAAGATACTGAGTCTCAGTGACCAAGAGTGGCATATCCTCAAGTGGTCACATTGGCTGGTTCCCCAGTCTTTAACTCACACTGCAATGCTCTGTCTTCATCTGCTTCCCCAGAACTGTTTCCTCCTCAGAGAGGAGATCTACAGTGAGGTCCTGGGCTCCTTTCCTTTTGGGGACTTCCCTGGGTGGGGAGGGGCAGGAGGGGCGGGAGGATGCTATGGTGGGAGCTCTCAGAGCTCATTGCACATTGATGTGGCTGACTTTTAGCTCACAGGTGGGAAGAGATGTGCCGCTGTCCTCTGATCAGACCTCCATGTCCCTGTCACATCACAAACCCAAGCAGACGGTTCCTTTTCATGCATGGCCTCACAGTGCAGCCCATGACAACCCATTGAGGTAGCTGTGGACAGCCTTCAGTACCGTGCCCTATACCTGTGTTACAGATCCGTGGCTGAGGCTACTGAAGTAGACCTGAACATGCGTGTGGGGCTACACACCGGCAGGGTCCTCTGTGGTGTCCTGGGCCTTCGAAAGTGGCAGTACGATGTATGGTCCAATGACGTGACCCTGGCCAATGTCATGGAGGCTGCTGGCTTACCTGGGTAAGTTGTAGTGTGGATGGAAGGTGACTGAGTGCCTTTGCTAGAATCCTCATTTAGGGCTTTGATCCTGAGGGTACTTGGGTAGGGTCTGCTTTGACCCTCTGTGGAACCCAGCCGAGGTCCAGTGCACATCTGGATGAGTGTGGATCCAGTATATGAGGTATTCTCATATCTTATTATTTCTTCTGTTTCATTTTCTCACACCTGTGCATGGAAAACACCATGACTTTTAGAGCCTCCCCTAGTGACTGTCAGTCATGCTCTGCCCACTTGTCTCATCTCTCAAGTGAGCTGCAGAGTTTGAACATGAACTCAAGGCTTTCTCCTACAGGGAATTCAGAAAGTCTAGGAAGAGCTGGCCTAGCAGAGGTGGCTTAGAATTCTGTGAGTCAGAGAAGCAGGGGCAGGTTGAGGTTCCCATGTCATTTCCCACTGTCCTCTGCTCTCTGACGACCAGCATCCATGATCTGCGGCTTCTCATTGGGCCGACTGTGAAGTTTCCCCCTCTCTCTTTTCACTCTAATTGTTTTGTTCTCATCTTCATTACTATAATCTTCTGATTGTTTTTTCTCTCCTTTGGGTCTTTCTTGATCCTTCATCCTTTGTGGCCTTCTCCAGCCGTATTCTGGCTCCTGGGTATATACCTCATCATTTAGCTTGCCTGGGCCTTCCTGTCCTTTCTTCCTAGATTACCCTGCTTTGGAACATGAGTGCATATGCCTCAGGAATCTTGCCCTGAGCAGAGCAATCTCTGCTGTGACCATAGTGAGTTCCTTACCCAGGACCCCACACATCCAGACTTGTGAGTTCACACTCAGCTTTGTATTCTTCTCTCACAGGAAGGTTCACATCACAAAGACGACTCTCGCGTGCTTGAATGGGGACTATGAAGTAGAGCCAGGTCATGGCCACGAGAGGAACACCTTCCTGAGAACTCACAACATCGAGACCTTCTTTATTGTGCCATCCCATCGGAGAAAGGTGGGCAGCCAGGCCCCTATTCAGCCATTAAACAGCCTGCCCAACAGAGCTTTAAAGAAACAATGGTTCTCACCTCCAGCTCCTCTGAAGTGGCCCCAGAGATATTGGGTGCAAGGCTTTGCCTCATGTATATAGGAGAGGAGAAGAGTCAAGAGTTGATAGGAGTCTGGAGTCAGAAATCTGGGGGTGACTGGGCCACTTCAGGTCCTTTGTTCTTTCTGTGGCCCTTCACTCCTTTGCATAGCGGCCATGAACTTCCTGCAAGAGGTTGAGTTACAAATCTTTGTGAACTTACGGATGCTGTGTAAGAGGGAGCTCTGACCATCCTATGTTGGATGCTTCAGGTCACACTGCCAGGGGGAAGTAGATGTGGTTAGAATCGAGGGTGACAGAGATGCTCCCAGGGCTCAGGTGATGGTTCAAGCTGATTGGATGGTATGGACTGAGATGAGGGCACTGACTCAGATGACAGCTGGGCTCAGAAGAGGGTATGAACTCAGGTGAGTCAAGTGCTTCAGGTAACTTGCTTGTTGAGGTGAGGGTGTGAGCTCAGTGAAGATGGTGTGTTGGTGAGGGTGTGAGCTCAGGTGAGGGTGTGAGCTCAGGTGAAGGTGGAAGTGTGTGTTCAGTTGAGGACTGGGCTTAGGTGAGCTCAGGTGAGGGTGTGTGTTTAGATGAGGGTGTGAGTGTGGGTGAAGGTGTGAGCTCAGGTGAGAGTGTGAATGTGGGTGAGGGTGTGACCTCATGAGGATCTGCGCTCAGGTGAGGATTCTAGTTCAGGTCAATGGCTATGGGCTCATGTGAAGCTTCAGAACCAGGTGATGGTGTGGGCTCCCATGTAGGTGGGGGTGTTCAGGTGAGGCTGAGTGCTCAGATGAGGATGTGAGCTCGGGTAAGGGTGTGGACTCAGGTGAAAGTGTGGGCTCAGAAGTAGGTAGGTCCTCACATGGGGATTTAGGTGGGTAATGGTTCCCTTGAAGATGTGGATTCTGGTTCAGGTTATGGGTTAGGTGAGCGTGCCCGTTCATATGAAGACAGGGGTTTAGCTGAGAGTGCAGGCTCATATGAGAGCAAGTACATAGATTATTTCATGCAAGAGATACCAAGCAACCTAATTTCAGTGTCCTGGAGTTCCTATCACTATTAAGGTCATGTTTCCAGCCTGAGAGTCAAGATCTGCTTCATTGACAATATTTTTCCCTAACCCTGTGTTTGCATAGATATTTCCAGGCTTGATTCTCTCAGATATAAAACCAGCCAAGAGGATGAAGTTCAAGACTGTCTGCTACCTGCTGGTGCAGCTCATGCACTGCCGGAAAATGTTCAAAGCTGAGATCCCTTTCTCCAACGTAATGACCTGTGAGGATGATGACAAGGTAGGGATGGCTGAGGGTCATGGGGCACTGTTCCTGTCCTCCTACCTTGTGCAGCTTGGCTAGAACACTCCTCACCGTTCATACCCTTATGATCTTGTGACACAGCACAAGTCTGTATGTTACCTTGTATTTATCCAAATCTATGCTCATATTCCCCACGTCATCCAAGGAGTGCTGGTTAGTCATTTAGGTCTGTTGTCGAAGCCTTCTAATCTTCAGCTTGCTCCTCCTTTGAACCTTTCTCTTCCTATCCCCATGGGCTTCTGTGGCCCCTTACTTGGTTGGCTTCTTACTTCTCACATTACATAGGGAATATGAAAAAGGGTACAGGAAGTAAGTGGGGGGTGGGACTTGGATATGTAAATGGTTCAGCTAGCATGATGCAGCCTTGATGTCTAGCTTGGTATGTTAGCCAGCCCAGGCTGCCACAACAAAAGAGTCTGGTCTGAGAGGTGTAAACCATAAGCACTCACTCACTGGGAGCTAGATGTCCGAGGTCATAGTGTCCTTGTGGTAGCAGGCATAGGGCTCTGTTGTCACCTCCTCTCCTTCTAAGGGCGTATTCCCATCAGGACCTCCTCTAAAGGAAATCACCTCCTGAGTCTCCAACTCTTCCATTGTCACATGGAAGGAGAGTTTCAATCCATGGATTTGGGGGCTATGTAAGGGTTCAGAGTTGGCCAAGCTTTTTTTCTTTCCTAGCATGGGTCCTGCCTTCCAGGGCTACTGCTGAATTCAGAGATGTTCCAATTCCCTGTGATATGGCACCTGTGTGCTCTTGTCCATCCTTGGTGTTCCATCTTGTGTTCTGGCCACACGACACTTTCACTTAGGTCACTTTGGGACTGGTGGGTTCCCCATGTCCCCAGAGGACCTGTTGGGGAAGAAATTATGTTGCCCTTTCTTTTCCTCCACTTCCTTCTTTTATTTTTCCTGGAAGGGCTATTATTTGGATGTTGGAGCTCTTGAACTGACTGAATTCTGCCTCCCTGCCCAGCTCTTTCCCACTTCTGGGAAGTTTTTCAACTTTATCATCTGTCTTAGGGTTTCTATTGCTGCGGCAAAACACATGACCAAAAGTCAAGTTGGGGAGGGAAAAGGGTTTATTTGGTTTACACTTCCACATTGCTGTTCATCACTGAAGGAAGTCAGGGCAGGGACTCAAACAGGGCAGAATTCTAGAGGCAGGAGCTGATGGAGGGGAGCTGCTTACTGGCTTGCTTCCCCTGGTTTGTTCATCCTGCTTTCTTATAGAACCCAGGACCACCAGCCCAGGGATGGCACCACCCACGATGGGGTTGATCACTAAATGAGGCTCCTGCCTCTCTGATGACTCTAGCTTGTGTCAAGCTGATACACAAAACCAGCCAGTACATCATCCAACACTTCTACTGAGCTTTTCAATTCCTAAAAGTTCCAAGTACTATTTGTTTTATGAATAATTCCCTTATGAAATTGTATTCCTATGTCAGAAACCCCAGGCTAGCTCATCCTTGCTAAGGATGCCCTTGAACTTCTGATTCTCCTGTTTCTACCTCCCAAACACTGGGATTACAGATGTGTGCCATCTCATCTGGTTTTATCTCATGCAGGGTATCAAGCCCAGGGCTTCACAGGTATGCCATACAAGCACTACAACCCTAGCTTCCACCACTCACTGAGATTATTGTTAACTTTTATGATATTTATGGGTGGGTGTGCGTGCACATGCCTGTGTTCCATGGGATGCATGTGGATGCTTGCAGAAATTGGCTTTCTACTGCCACTATATGGGTTTTAAGACCCAAACTCAGCTATCAGACCTGGTGGAAGATGCTTTTCCCATCTGAGCCATCTCACTGTCTCAAGATTTTTATTCTGTTTTATTTTTAACGGTATGTGGCATGCATGCCTGTTGTGGGTGCATGTGTGTGGGTTGGGGGGTGCACTTGTGGATACATGCACATGGAGACTGAAGGTTGATGTGGGCATCTTCCTCAGTTGTTCTCCACCTTATTCTTTGAGGCAGGGTCTCCCCCTGGAATCCAGCACTCACCCAGACTGCTAGTCTAACTAGTCAACTGATTCAAAGAATCCCCTGACTCTGCATGCCTAGCTCTGGAATGAGAGGTGGGCTGCCACACCCACCTCGCTCTGACTTGGGATTTGGGGGCTGCATTTCAGTCCTTACTCTTGCTTGCATGGCAGGCTCTTTAGACACTGGCCCCTTCTCTTCAGCCCTTTCATGGAGGTGTTTTTTTTTTTTTTTTTTTTTTTTTTTTTTTTTTTTTTAAGAATTTCTAGTCCAAGAAAAATCCGTTTTCTCTAAGCAGCTTGTTTTTATTTTTCCTTTTAGCTTGTCTGTCATCATTTGTAACCCCATAGACACCCAGAATCTTTACTGCTTTGTTCTTGATGGAGATGCTAGCAAAACTGGCTGCAAGTGCCAAGCCAGAGACGGCTGTCCAATGCAGGCCTTCTGTGGACACCAGGGTTTCCTGTCTTGGATGATCAGGCACTCAGTCACTTGTGGGTCTTCAGATCTTCTGGGCATGTGGTGCTGGTAGTGGTGGTGTCTCAGGCTTCTTTTCAACTACACATGGCCAGAGACCTGATGTCCCTTCTGGGAAAGACCCCACATTGCTTTCTATGGAAGGTATACCAAAGGGCATGGGGTGCACCTTAGGGCTCTAATGCCCCCTTGTGGATGGCTCTTGAGCAGAGCCACTGTATCTATTAGTGATTGGGCCTGAAGGTGCCTGGCTCCCCATTGCCCATTCTGTCCAGCCCTCTGAAATTACACTGATTTTACCTTGTGTCTGCTTGCTCCACCCTGTTGCTGCCTTTCCCACCATTGTTTTCTCTGTTACTGATTTTATACCTTTTAAAGAAACTTCCTGGTGTAGTTAGAGGTTTTCTGGGACAAAGCAAGGTTCTGTTGCCTCTTGTTTATAGTGTTTCCATATGACAAGGATTTGTGTATGTGACTTCCTCTTTGCTGGAACTTTATCTGGAACTGTTCTAAGAACTTCATCCATGGTGGATCAAATCAGGGAGGATTATTAGACTTTATGTATGCCAGGTAGCTGGAGGCTACAGTATACTAAATGTTTGGCTTCTGTCACAGATAGTAGGAATTTTATCCCCAATCAGACCACACAGACAACACACATACACACACACACACACACACACACACACACACACACTGAATGTGGGCGGCGGGGATCCAGAGTTAATTGTCTTAGCAAGACTCCCTGTCCTTAATCTCTCATCACCTTCAAAGTGTGGTAGGTTCCTCATCCCATTCTGGAGACATGCAGTCACCTAGAGCAATCTTCAGCAGGGATCCTGGTCACTTCAGCCAGAATACTGTGACCTCTGATGTCTACTCTGAGTAGTTTTCTGTCCATAGAGCCCTCCTTTCTCTTTGACTGGGTATCCCAGCTGCTGTGCTACATTCAGATTTGAAGTTAAGAGCCTATTGTCATGGCCTCTGCATCTTCTGCAAGGTCTTGTATGAAGCCTGCCCCACTGTGTTCTAGCAAGTGTCACTGAAATTACTCCTTTTGAATGACATCCAACCCCCATCCTTGGCCTTAGCCACAGGGCGGTGTCTCTTCCACCATGCTTGGGGTTTCTAGCCCGCTGATGTTGTTAGCTCCTCAGGGATGAATCCCTATGGTGTATGTACTCCAGCCCCAAACACATTTGCACTCTTCCTAATTGTCCTATGGATACTTTCCTGCCCATAGAGGTATTTGTTATGGATGACATCCCCACATAAAAAAATGCACAGAAAAAGCTAATAAAAGCATTTGTCATCCACCACCCCCAGATAAGACCTGGCACTTTGACCCTTTCTGTGTCCTAGGTGTGGAACCTGGAGATTCTTTGAGGATCTTTATTATGCTGTAGAGGTTCAGCTGCTTGCTTCTCCTTCTCTTGCCTACAGTTGTCTTTACATCATTAACTATCCCTCATTTGGAGTTTCTAGTCTTTGTATAGATTTTGAATCAAAGGAGACATGGTTTATGTGGCATTGGTATTTGGGGCTTTTCTGTCTTTTATAATGGAAGCAGGCAATGGTACTTTTTTCATGAAAGTACAGTTTCATCCCTGGGTATTCTGTAAATTGTAGCTGGCAAGTATGGACCCTGCACGTGTGAATGATGGGAGATTATGATGCTATCACTGGAAGTGACTGTTGAGAGGCACAGCCAGCAGGGGGACCTTCTTTATTTTTGTTTTCTGATTTTGAAATATGTGTGTTCCCCTGTTCTGCCTGCGCTGGCTCTCTCTCTCTCTCTCTCTCTCTCTCTCTCTCTCTCTCTCTCTCTCTCTCTCTCTCTCTCTCCTCTCATATTTTGAAGGGACCAGTCCCCCATTTCGGCAGCCATGACAGTAACACGTGCTCGCTATGACCTTGCCTTGGTCACTAGAGGTTAGGTGCCTGCCTTGTGGCAAGGAACCAATCAGGAGTTAGTTGGTGGCACAGCTTTAAATCTAAGCTTATTGATTTAAAGCAACATGGAAGCCACTTGTGTGGATGATATAGAAATCAAGTGTTCTTGATTGCTCCTAGACACTCCAGTGTGGGTACTTAGCAAGGCTTGGAGTGTTATGGAGGTTCTTTCCTGCCAGCCTGGTCCCCCAGCCACCTCAACCCCAAATAAACACACGGATGCTGTATTAATTGTAAAACTGTTGGCTAGTGGATATTTCTAGCTCTCTCTTAATTATTAACCCATAACTACTTATCCATGTATTTCCACATGGTCTTGGCTTACCAGAGAGTGCCTGGACCTGTCTCTTTCTGGTGGGCTTTCTCTTTCCCAGAATTCTCCTTGTCTCCTAGTCCTGCCTATCTTCCTGCCTTATTATTAAAACAACAGTGTTTTATGCATCAGCCAATAAGAGAAACATATATATGGAAGACATTCCCCATCACTTGAGTATTGCCAGTGTGCTGGACATTGTGTGTTTGCTTCCCTGTTTCTAGTCTGTCTGCACTTTGTCTGGACTATCTCCTGAGCTTTTTGTTTAAAAACAATGGAGATGATTATCAGCTACATGAATTTAGCTTGTTTGGTCCACACTAATTGAAACCGATTGCAGTGACTTTTTAAATTATCTTGGGTTTTCTTGGTTAGTAATAATATGTACGTTAAACAGGGCTATTGTTCCTCTTTCCCATCTAATAATTAAGCTGGATGATAGTGATAAGGGTGGGCATTCTTTCTCATTCTGAGTCTCAATGAAGATGCATAGGATTTTACCAATTCTTGTGGTACTTTGAACTAGGAATACTAGCCTCAGAAGTGGTCCCGGTAAGTTAATGTTTACATTTTTTTAAGTGACTACTGGATGTTGTATTTAGGAAATACTTCCAAGTGTGGATCAAGGTGATCTTCCAAGGGGCTTTTGCCTCTGGTATCCTTGGGTACCTCAGGTCCTCTGACCTTACCCAGTGCAGTGGGGTGCCATTTTGTTATGTGGGTTGAGGTAGTAGGCTAAGATTGGTATAACTAGGAAGTTGGGGATTCTTGGCAAATAGACTTTTTGTGGTCTTTGGTTGCCATTATGTGGTTATTTCTGCTTTTCTGGCTTCCCGCTCTTGTTCATTTGGCCAAGAGACAATAGCTTTTCTCATGGTCCCTGTCAGTTTTACTGCACCCATTGACATTTCCAATTGTGGACTCCTCTAGCTCCTGGCCTGGGGTAGATATGACAAAAGATGCCCCACTGGACCTCTTGTCACACACAGTTCCTCTTTAGTTCTGAAAACCTGCTCTCCCTTTCCACTCTTAATAGCCTTGTGTTTATTTTGTGTGTGTTGTCTGTGTTTTGCTGTTTTGTTGGAACACAGAGGAGAAGGCAGTTCATTCTATGCTTTCTACAGCTGCACTGTAGTATCTTAATAGTCTGTCTTCTGTTGAGATGTGGGAAGCACCAGAGTCTTTGCTATGCACCCTTGACTGCGAGACCACAGCAGGTGCCTTCGGATTTTCCTTTTCACAACCTGGTACCTTCCTGCACCTGTCATGTGATGTACGGAAGAGGGGATCACACCCTAGTCCTCTCAGCCCAGGCTACCTGTTACTTAGTACCATTCCTCCCTCAAAGGCAATGACTATCTGCCTTTGTAACAGACTTTAGGCACCTCTTCCTACATATGTGGGCTTGTGAGTGAAGGTGTTTACCCCATCCAAGTATCCTTCCTGCATATGTGGGCTAGGGTGCAGGTGGCTGCCTGTCTTGGGCATATTTGTCACTGAATCCCACAGCCCTCTCCACGCTGATGTCAAATAGACATTCTGTAATTTGCAGTGCAGACCTGGGAACCTGCGTACCGGTCTTAGGCCACCTCCTTTGCCAGCTCTGGCCAGCAGGGGGCAGCGCTATGACAGTGTCTCAGAGTTCTGAACCCAGCCCAGACTGCACCACTATCAAGTGCACATTGGTACTTTTGTTCAAAGGGTGGAACATTTGATGCTCTTTTTTCTATTTCCATCGTGGCTGCAGCGGAGGGCATTGAGAACAGCCTCAGAGAAGCTCAGAAACCGCTCATCTTTCTCTACCAATGTGGTCTACACCACTCCGGGCACACGTGTCAACAGGTACATCAGCCGTCTTCTTGAAGCCCGCCAGACAGAGCTGGAGATGGCAGATCTGAACTTCTTTACCCTGAAGTACAAACATGTCGAAAGAGAGCAAAAAGTAAGTGACTTGGGACTTCATCCCTTTCCATGTCCCTAAGGACTCTGTGTCTTCAAGATGGGTTGATCACTCTATCGTTCTTTCTCTCCCTCCCCCACAGTACCACCAGCTTCAGGATGAGTACTTCACCAGCGCTGTTGTCCTTGCCCTCATCCTGGCTGCCTTATTTGGGCTTGTCTACCTTCTGATAATTCCACAGTAAGTGTTGTCCCTGTGCTAATCCATGATATGGGAAGGTGACCAAGAATTCCAGGTCTCTAGGGGGAACTGGTTAGTTTTCTTGTTTTGTGACTGAATAGCTGACAAGAAGCCATTGAAGGGAAGAAGTGCTGATTTGGGCTCACAGTTTGAAGGTACAGTTCATCATGGCAGGGGAACTCAGCATCAGGAGACACTTTCCGCTTTGGTGGTAGGAGCATGAGGTTATTAGCTCACATCAGGATGGGTGTAGAAGTGGAGTGTGTGTGACTTGAGGTTCACACTCCGTGACTCACTTCCTCCCATGATGCTCCATATCCTAAAGGTTTGACATCTACCCAAATAGTGCCACTGTCCGGGGACCAAGTATTCAAATCCATTTCCCTCTGAAACCAAACACTGGAGATGGACCCAGGTGTCCTAATGTCCTCAAGATCCACTTCCCAACCACTCTTCTGTTGAGCCAGGCATTTGATGAGGGCATTGGCTACCTGCCTTTCTTCTTCGTGCACTCTAGTCAGAACTTTGACAGGTCTTTTGGCAAACAACATGATCACTGTTTTTTAATTTTGAATTTGCTGAACTCCAAGACTTTGTGTGATTTTCGGCTTTTCCATTCACATGACATGCACCGTTGTCCTCAGAGGGGTTTCTGAGGGGAACCTATGGCCTTTTTGCCTTCTGGGTCCATATCACTTTAAAAAGCATTAAAATGGAATAAAAAGTAGACTCCAAGTAGGAAGAAAATATAGTGATTTAAATGTCATTTAACCACCATACGAGTCAGTGTAAGCTTGGAGCTTTTGTTTGGAGGAAGACACCAGGAAGTCTTCAGTTGTCCTTTTCTTCTGGCACTTGTTTTCTAGTAGGACATACCTTGAAGGCATGATGTCTCCTCAGAGTTTTCAGAAAGCACATGGAAGTTCTCTATACCTATTAAGGACAGAAGCTTCAGCTGTGGGCTGCACAGACAACTGTGAACTTGGCAGTCTACCGGATGGTTTTGTCTAGGGTTTATGTTTTTTCTAGAAACATCTTTCCCAGACAAATATCAGTAGTGCAGCTCCATGAAGTCCAGCACTTCCTCCATTAGGAGGAAAGGTCTCCCGAGAGTAATGTGACCTGAAGCCAAGGCTGAACTTTGGAGTGAGGTAGTATGGATGGGGATGGTCTTGGGAACCTCACCTGGGAGCCCCAAATGTCTTCACTAGGAAAGAATCAGGTGAAGTAAGTCCCCTTCAGGATAGGATATGGAGCATCATGGGAGGAAGTGAGTCACGGAGTGTGAACCTCAAGTCACACACACTCCACTTCTACACCCATCCTGATGTGAGCTAATAACCTCATGCTCCTACCACCAAAGCAGAAAGTGTCCCCTGCGACAAATGGATAGTGGCAATACTTCCTCCTGAGATTCAGGGCATGGGGGCCGGGAAGAGAGACACAGTTTTGAGGTACTTATCTCATACATCGTACCTAGCTCCCGCCTAGCAATGACCTGTGTCCTCTGTCTCCAGGAGTGTGGCTGTCCTGCTGCTGCTGGTATTTTCTATCTGCTTCTTGGTGGCCTGTATCCTGTACCTGCACATCACGCGGGTCCAGGTATGTTTGTGTGTCTTCTACAGGTGTCCAGGTATGTGAGCCTATGTCCAAGACCATGTACCTGAGTATTTTCTGTGTAGTCTCTTGGCAAAGCGGTTCCATCCTTCATTCTCAGTGGCAAGTAGAAGATATCTGTCCATGTGGCAGCTGCTGGTTAAGTCCAGTGTACTGTGCCTGATGCAATGCAATGTCTTGGGAGTAAATATTGCAATCAGTGGGTAGTAAATATTGATGAAAAGGGATCTTGAAGTATTGACTTTGCTACTTGGTTGGGGAGCCCAGGGTAGTTTGTTTCTTATATATCTATATGACTGATCTAAGGTGGGCATGGTCCAGGTGGGCTATCTATGCTGTCATGGCCCCGATATTCAAGTGACATTTGTACTTTTGGGGCAAAGGTAGAGCATCATTCCTGCCTGATCACCACCCCCCCTTAGAGTTCTTGGCCCTGCACTCTTTTCTCATAGGCTTAGCCTATTTCCCGGTGCCCGATCTCCAGCATATCCTACTGGTGATATTAGACCTAGGATTACTTTTGGTAATTTGGTATAATTATTGAAAACTGTAGCTTCTTGAGAAGATTTAGTCTAGTTTCACTCACTTAACTCCATCATTATTTCCAGGTATATCTTGACTTTTTTTTTCTCTAATTTGAAAGATGCTCTATATTAAGACCACATTTATAGTTAGTTGACTTCCATAGGTTGAGTGACATTTAGTTTGAAATTTCCAGCTTCAAATAATATTGCCTTTGTCAAAGAATTTCCACAAAAGCATGACATGGGGATGGTAATTATTAAAGCTGTCATTTGGTCTGCATTGATGGGAGCCAGTGTGTCTACCTAATGGTGTGTAAACAGCACAATACATGCAAAAAGTGTGAAGATGTGTGTGCGTTGTGGGGGTGTGTGTGGAGAGGGTAGCCCACAGCCCAGGAAGCACAGAGACCCTGGAGCCCCACCCAGCATCTGATCAGGGGACTCCAGTTCCCCTGGGCAGAATCACACCACTCTCTGTGACATAACATATTGCCTGTAAAACTAATACTCAAGCTCAAACACCAGCCGGCTCAGTAAATGTATGTCCTGTGAGATCAAATTTTGATGGCCTTCCTGAGACCACCCCCTGTGAAAACACAGATGCCCTCCTGGGTGGGGACTCAGTCAAGTCAGCTGTCCCTCGCTGCCCACTCCTGGCCTCACCAAAGAACAGCGTGGAGGATTTCCTAAATTGGTGTTTTGGAAGCAGCAGGTGCCACAGCTTCAGGGGTTGGCCTTCTCTGGTGCCTGACTTCATGCTGGCTGACACGTGGGAAGCAGAGAGGAACCTGCACTCAGCTGGAACAGAGGCAGGTGGGACTCATCTCCCAGAAGGGTGTACCAGGACAAGGTGGATGAACTAAAGCAGCACATAGTGACTGTGTCCACCAGACTGTGTTGGGCTCTGTGCTTCATTTTGGGACTGATTAGGCTATGGCAGAGGCTGTGGGAACAGACGGTGGCATAGAGGCTGGGTGGTGGTGGTGCAGTGAGCAGGTCAGCAGGCGGAAAATCAAGCCAAGCAGGAGAGAATCCAGCATGGCCAGCCACACAGATGTGACAGCTGCCAGGGTATATCTCCAAGGAGCTTATGGCATTCACAGTATAGCTATGCTTTCTTCCACAGAAGCCATGGGGACAGTTGCATTGGCCCCAGTTTCTAAAGACAACTTACTTCCTACTTACTTCATCGAGCACATCCACAGACTCAATACTGACACAGGAGAATTCAGGATTGCTTCAAGCCAGATGACTATTTCTTTTGGATGGTCTCTCTGCCCCTTAGTGCTAGTGTCAGTCCAATGCTGGCATCCTTGAGGTGGCCAAAATATGATAGTATCCTAGCTTTTATGTCTACCAGACAGGAGCATGCATCTAGAACAGGGCACTCTGCTTTCCATGTCATTCAAAAGATCCATTAGCCTCCTGCTCAGATTGTTGGCCTCTCGTGGGTGCACTCAGGAACAGAACATGGAAGGTGGGCGTACCCACCATCTGCACAGGGAGGCTCCTGTGCAGAGGACCTGACTGTGATGGGGCTCATGTCAGCCTCTGGAGTCTAAGGTTTACAGACCCAGGAGAGACAGAAAGTAAAGACACCTTTTCTGGCCTGCTCCTTGGAAGATTTCCCAATTGTTCCTACTGCTGAGGTCCTTTCCAAAGAAAGGAGATCAGCACAAAGAGGCAGCTGGACTACAGTGTTCACTGCCACACTATTGACAGTAGCCAAGATAGACTCTATCTAAAGCATCCCTGATGGATGGACAGCTTGTCAAAACCATCTCAGTTTCCTGTTGCTTCCTGACATAGCTACAGCCAATAGAAACCCAAAATCTAATCTGTTTGTAGTCTCCCAGCTCTAGAGAGTGGTAGTCCATGCATGTCTCTTGATATCTAAGCTATCAAGCCATGGCTTCTCAAAAGGCTGCGGGAAATGACTGACTCCTGGTCCATTATGGTTGGTAGAGTTCAGTTCTGGGCTATTGTGAGACTCATCATTTTTCCTTGGCTGCTCCTGCGCCCTCCTCCTCAAACCCTCAGTGGCACAGCAAACCTTTCTAGCATTTCACTCCATTTCCCCTCCTCCCACTGTCCAGAAAAAGCTCTGCTTTTATTTTTTATTATGTTTTCACTTTTAATTAAAAAGTAGTAATCAAATATGTTTATTAGATATAATATGATGTTACACATTATGTTGTAGAATGATTAAATCAAGCAAGTGAACATATTTGTTACATCACACACAGTGGCTTGTTTGTTTTGTAGTGAGATCATTTAAAGTCAACTCCTAGCAGTTTTGAAACATGCAATACATTGCCATCGCTGTAGCCCCTATACTGTGCAATCCATCGCAAACCTCTTCTTCCCAGCTCACTGAAATTTTGTCGAATTTTCCTATGAAGCTCTTAGGATCTTCTGGCATCTACCATTCTTCACTCCACTTCAGGGAGTCGAGTCTTAGATTCCACACCTAAGTGAGATCATGCAGCTATTTCTGCACCTGATTTACTTTACTTAACATAACTTCCAGGTTTATTAATGCTTGGTGTAAATCGAAGGATTTGCTCCTTAATTTATGAGGCTCAGTAGTACTCCACTCTTCTTTGTCTGTTTGTCTGTCAGTCAGCAGGCAGGATACCTTAGGTTAGGCTGACTACATCTTGGCTACTGTAAGTAGTGCTGAAGTGAATTGGGACATGGGGACGCAGCTGCCTCTTCTTCACTTTTCTTCTGAGAGAGGACCTCCTGTATCCCAGAGGGATCTCAAACTTGCCATGTAGTCAGGGAAGTTCTGAAACTCCTCCTTCTACCCTCTCGAGTGCTGGGATTACAGAGGTGTGTCCTGTATCTTGTTGTACGCAGTGGTGGGGGTGGAACTCAGGAATTTGTGTCTCCCAGGCAAGCACCCTACTAGCTACACCACCTGTCTCCTCTTCATCATGTTGATTTCTTTCTTTTCGATGTAGAGCCAATAGGAGGATCGCTGGATCACATGGAAGTTCTGTTCTTAGTCTGACAACCGACCTCCATTCTGTTTCCCACAATGGATGTGCTAATGTACATCCTGAACCCTGTAATTGTCAGTCGTTTGATAAGCCACTCCAGCTAGACCAAGGGCATCTCATTATGGTTTAGTTTGTACATCTCCAGTACGTCAACCAGATTTGTGATGAATGTTGTCCGTGTGTCACTATCAGACTTTTGTCTATATTCACTTGGGAAGTATATATTAAATCCTTTGCCTGCTTAAAAATTGGATCATTCCTTTACTTGCTATTGAATTGTCTGTATTCCATATGTATTTTGGATATTTAGATCCTCATCATCTGTATGCTTTACAAATAATGTTTCTTGATCTGTGAGTTATGTCTTTATTAGTTATCATAGATGCCAAAGCTCTGTGGCACTGGCCCAGCAATGTTTCTTTGGATGTAGCTCCAGAAGCATGGGGGTGGGGAGAAATAGGTAAATAGGTTTGCCTCTACCTAAAATGCTTTGGTGCAGCAAATAAATCCTTCTGCTTCTAAAGATGTCATGTGACCAGTTGAGATGCAGGTGTTACTATCATCTGAATGACTCGTTACACAGAATCCCTTCTGTAGTGGTGTAATGTCATGTGATTCCAGGCATAAGCACTCAGGGTCCTTGGTGCAAGAACTGGGGTGAGAAACCTCCAGGGCCATTAAGAACATTGTCCATACCAAATATGTGAAGTAAATGCTCATTTAGTTAGTTTTTATTTTGCTGTAATTTGTAACCTGAATAGAGATTTTGGTAGTTTAACAAACATTTCTAAGGGTTATGAGAGAATCCTAACCTTGCCGTTTGAAGTTACTTTGCATTGTTTCTGCTTATGTGGCCATCCTTCTGGACCTGGACTAGCATGATCTAATTCACTACTTGAATGGGTTGCTAGTTTTGTGTATATACAGAGTCCTGCAGAATCTGGTCCAGGCTTACAAGATACTGTCACCTCCTTAGTGCTGTGAGCAAGTTTCCAGATCATTAAACTGTTTTGTGGAGTCTGCTGCATCATGAAACTCCTATAAGGCTTGTGAATGGTGCCCATTGTTGTGCCTAGGCTGTGCAGAGGCTGGAGCTAGGCTGGCCTTGGTGAATGGAAGTCTGTGTTGCTGAGTCTTGAGTTCAGTGTTGTTGAGTACACCATGTCCATGTGATACCAAGTTGCTGCTGTGTGCAGCCACTTTTGCCAGATAACACCCAGTTCATGGTAGGCAGCTCAGGGATTGTGGTAGCTCAGTAGTCCATGGTTTAACATTCCATTTCTATCAAGTCCTAGTATTATCATTGTCAGGGTCTGGGTCAGGTGTTTCCAGGTTCTAGACTTATCCAAAGAATTAAAAATAAAGAGTTTACACATATTTGCAAAGGAAGCAAGTTAATTTTATTGGAGCAAGTTTATAGTTTAAATTAAAAAGTGATACACTCTTGAGTGGGCCACATGAGGGAGAGTTATCAATGCTTCCTTACGGGCTTGAGAGAAGGAGGAATTTGGTTACTACGGACGTAAAGTGGGCAGTTTTGTGCTTTGATTGATAGATTAGGTCATATATTTGCTTTTCCTACTGAGTATGTCCCTTCCACAATACATCTGATTTAAGTCATATGCATTCCCAATTTTTTACACCTATGCATAAATGATAAATAGGTGATTTCCCCTGAAAGGTTGCTGGAGGACATAGTTTGCTTTATTATACATACAAGATACTAAAATCTCTGTTCTGTTGGCCTGCATCCATGGCAGCAGGTAAAGAGCTGCTCTTAGGAGTCATTATCTGGATAGAATGGCAGGACCTCGCAGCAAGACCACAGTAGACCACAGATTGGGATCTGTGGGTGCCTCTGGAGGAATTCCCAACCACACTGAGCCAAGCTGGGGAACATTCTCTCATGATCAGGGACTTGCAGCTGTGCCTTCCCCAGTGGCAGAGATCACATCAAGAGGGAAATACAGAGAGAGGCAAGATCAGAAGAGTCCTTAGGCTTCACACCAAATGGTGCCTCTTCTGTCTGAGGTCAGCCGAGACCAGGGTTCAGCACTGTAGGGTCTGGACTCAGCTACCTATGTCAGCTACCTATGCTACTCACACCACTCTGTCCTGACCCCAGAATATTTGGTGTGGGCTTGTTTTATTGGTGGCAGTCTCCCCCAGTTTTTAAGCAAGAAGAGCAATACTGCCAGCCTTGTGGGAAGGATGGTGAAAATGGCTATGTTCTTGCAGGCTTAGACTGTCTTCATATGTTGCTTTCTGTAAGGGGCTATGTATGTACATTGTAATCTATACTCTTGTTTTAGGACTGTGAGCATAAAGAACTTCATGTTTTATCCTTGAAAGCACCTGTTAAATATTTTAGACTGTATTCAAAGTAAATAGATTAGAAATAAAATTTCTAGTAACTGAAGGATTATATTAAACATGTCTGTGATGATAAACTTTGAGAACATGAGAAAGAGAGAGAGAGAGAAACAGAGACAGAGGTAGGGATGATGGATGGATAGATAGATAGATGGTAGTAGTAGAAGGAGGGAGGAAGTGGTGTATGGAATGCCTGAGGCTGGAGAATACATTATAATTAAAATGCTCAGTTAAGTTCAGTGCTAGTCAAGGTGCCTGGGAGATAGAGATGGGTGTTTCTCCTTTCAATTTAAACATTGTGTGTGTGTGTGTGTTTATCTGTGTGTCTGTGTTTTGAGTTTTTTTGCAAGTTCTTCACATGGGAAATAAATAAATAAAAACAATCAGACCATTGCACAGAGGATGGAGGTCTAGTAAGCCTCTAGGAGCAAGCAGGAAACTCTTCACACCCTGCTATGAACACTAAGTTACTTCCTAATCACAGCATAGTTCTTACAGCTTTTCTGCTACTCCTTTCTTTCTCCCCCCACCCCTGTGGGGGACACTGGAGTTACACCCCAGAGCCTTACACATTCCAGGCAACACTACGGCTGAGCTGCTGCATCCCTCGCCCTAAAGTGAGGTTTTCTTGTTCAGTGTTTTCCAGGGTGCCTGACGATCCAGATTCGCACTGTTTTGTGTGTATTCATAGTGATCTTAATCTACTCAGTAGCTCAAGGATGTGTGGTGAGTATCACTAACTTTTGGCATGTGCAGGGGCAGGAACAACAGGCCAAAGAAGCTGAGCCAGGAACTAGGAGACATAGCTGGGATGGTTGGAGTTGAGGGAGCTGCAACACAGGATGGAGTTGCCTAGCTTGGAGACCAGACAGGGGCTGGTACTACCTGGTCCACTCTCCTTGCCCCAGCCTTTTCCGTAGATACCCAGGAGCCTTTGCAGGCTGCAGCAGCAGAGGCAGTGTGAGACCTGGCTGGTGGTATCAGAGGCATGGGGCAGGGTTGGGGGGGTGCTACTGCAGAAGGCTAGTGATTCAGTGAGGCTGGGACACTTAGGCCTTCTGAGGGGTTGCTGTACTTTGCCTGGGCCTTCCTAAGCCTTCATGCCCTTGCTCCCCAGGTGGGCTGCCTGCCCTGGGCCTGGAGCTCTCAGTCCAACAGCTCCCTAGTGGTCCTTGCAGCTGGTGGCCGGCGCACTGTGCTGCCTGCCCTGCCCTGTGAGTCTGCACACCATGCCCTGCTCTGCTGCCTGGTGGGCACCCTCCCGCTAGCCATATTCCTGCGGGTGTCCTCCTTGCCAAAGATGATCCTGCTGTCTGGGCTGACCACATCCTACATCCTTGTTCTGGAACTCAGTGGATATACCAAGGTTGGGTAAGTGTGGTGCCCCAAGGAAAAACTCTAGACAGGGTGATGTTAATTATCATTCTCCTCTGATAATAATTTGCATTAATCACTATTATTCTTAATCATCACCTCAATTAACTCTACAGTCCTAGAACTATCTCCCTTCCTCCCTATCTCTTACACACACACACACACACACACACACACACACACACACACGCTTGTGCATGTGCACCAATTAGCAAGCCAATATTAGTGGTTTTTCCATTTCTATTCTTTAGTCCAGATTCTAGTAATGCCTCTAAGTTTTGGCCTCGCTACCCAAAGATGGCTCTCTGCCCAGACCTAGGGTTTGGTGGCCATGTCTTGCCTGGAAGCCGACACTGATGGAGTTTCTTCTGTACCTCCCCAGGGGTGGTGCTCTCTCTGGGCACAGCTATGAACCAATCATGGCTATCCTGCTGTTCTCATGCACACTGGCCCTGCACGCCAGGCAAGTGGACGTCAGACTGCGGCTGGACTACCTCTGGGCAGCACAGGTAAGTTGAGCGCTGTGTTTCCTAGGGCATGAGATGACCATAGGGAAGGTAGCAGAGACACTAACTGCCCATGTGGCCTGCCGAAGCCTTTGCTCAGTAGTGCAGAAGAGCCAGCACTGTTCAGGGACTTGTCCTTGAGGCTTGAGTTCTTGGACTGGCACCTGTGGGATGGCTGTACAGATGGCTTCAGAATGCATGGGCTGGGGACTGCCATTGGAGTGGCTCTGTTGTAAGGCAGTACCTTAGGGTATCTGTGGGGATTGGATGTGGTCAGGATCCCATCAGGGTCCTTTAGAAAACTGAACATGCCAAACCTCTCTCTGCTCATTGTGGACCTAGTAATTTTCAGGGTGTTTCTGACAGGAGAGGCAGGAGGGCCTCTTTTGTGGAGGCATCAAAGAGTAGCCATGTGAGCTACTCGGGCCCTGACTATACAGGCACCAGGCAGGCTGTCACATTGTCTGTAGTTAGCTTTCCATTCAAGTGTGAGGAAAGGGCTAGCTGGGCTGCTCATAAAACCACTTTGGGGAGTGGTGAGGTTTACCAGTGTCCATGACAGGGCAGAGTGGGGCTGCCTGGTGCTGGGGTGCATGCACCCCTGCACATCACCCCCCACACCCGTACACACTTGTATCTGAAAAACTGATGTAATTAAGCATTTGAGCAGCTTGCACAGGCTTGGTCTGCAGCAGCAAATTGTCTCATGAGCCTTCCTTACCTGAAAAGGAGGGGTGACAGCTAGTGAGCCTGAGCCTCGGCAACAGCCAGTCTTCTGATTTGGATGCACCCGGAACAGCTCTTTGCCTTCAAAGCAGTCGGTCGAGCTTCCTCAGTTATAAGATCAGCACTGCCCAGCAAATGAAATCTCACGTGAGAAAACAAGGTTCACAGGGGGACCTGTGTGTGAATGACACTGGTCAGGCTGGGGTAAGCAGTGGAATCAGGCTATCACTGCAGTCTGTGGATAGCTGGTCAGGCTTGGAGTCCTTGTAGGCAGTACTTAAGGCCAAGCAGGAACATCTTGAGCCTAGGACCTGGAATGTGCAGCCAGGGCTGAAGTTCCCAGCTTAGAGCTGGGGCTCAGTTGCCAGATAAGTAGGGACAATTGGGAGTGACTGTGAAACAGAGGTCCCCTGTGGACACAGGAGTCTTGAGTAAAGCCAGGTGACTGTGGTTGTGAGACCAGCTCTGACACACTTGGTGGAATGGGAAATCCTGTTGATTTGTCCCTTTTCCTGGGGCTGAGTTGAACAGCAGGTTGTACAGTAGAAGAACAGAGACCAGTCGGTAGCAGCAGGAATGACAAGGCGTGGCATGAAGTAGTCCTGGTGGCAGATTTCAGCATCTGGTACCGGCCAAATTCTCTGACCAGCAGTAAAATAGCGTGAGAACACATAAAATGGAGTGCATTTTCCCTTCTTGGCAACCTGTCCCCAGGCCTGGCATGACGAAGCATGTTGTGATCTCCTGGCTTGGTTATGCAGATGGCCCCCGTCCCTGGGCTACAGGTCATTAATCATGTTGGGTGGCTAGTTCTTGCAGCACTTGCCATTGACCCCCCCTCATCCGGAAGCAGGAGCAACTAAGGAGCCTATTGGTTCATAGCATCCAGGTGGGGGGTGCCCCTGGTGATGGCATTCGCCAGTTCCTGGAAAGGAGACCTGGCCAGTTGCAATTTGCCCTAGTCAAACCAGGTAATGGGAAGAGCCTCTATGGCAGCTGTGGCATCGATCGCGGTCTTTGTAACCCAACTGGCTGCCTGCTATGGCCTGCTCTGGTCCACTGACCCTGCCTTCAGCAAGATCCTTGGGTTACTGATCTCATAGTGAATATCTACTAGAGAAAAATGCACACACGATGAGGCTGGAAGACCAGCCTTGGCACAATGAGGTGTGTGTGGGTGTCTATAAGGTTGTTTCCTAGGGAGGGTATCTAGTTGGTTTTACAGTCTAAGCAAGTGGAAATGAGGCCTGGCTATGAATTCCTTGGGGGTGGGTGATCTCATCACCCCTTGGGTAGGCATTTTTCTCTTATGGACTGACGTGGCCTTTTCTTGTCTTTGATTAGTAAGTTACCATATTTGTTATTAAATTCAGTATTTAAATGTTATTAAGTCATGTGATTCTCCATCCATCCACACCTTCTACTGCTACCCATTACATATAAGTTTTCAGGAAGTGTGTGGCACAGATGCATTTCCTCGAATGTGGTCCTCATGCATGAGTGTCATGATGGAAGGGTTGCTAATGGAGCATGCTGACACATTTTTTTTTTCCGTAGATAGGTAACAAGAAATGTCACCTTGCTTTCCTGTAACCCCAGCAAAACATGGGACTTTCAGGACTTTGACTGTTTGCTCTCTGGATATTTAGTCAGGTTGTTAGAGACATGAGAGCACCTCAAACTATTGCCTCATTGTCCGGACAAACACTAGCTGGGTTAATTATTTTTGGATACCACGTTGGCCATACAACCCTACATAAACAAACGGGCTTTACTTTGCCCTTGGTGAAATTCTCTGCTTCTTTATCTTTAACTATTGGCATCATGCTGTCTCAACATTAATTTCTTTTTTAGTTTTTTGAGGCAGGGTGTGTGTGTGTGTGTGTGTGTGTGTGTGTGTGTGTGTGTGTGTGTGTGTGTGTGTGTGTCTCTCTTGAACTCAAGTCCGACCTGCTTCTGCCTCCTAAGTGCTGGGATTAAAGGTGTGCTCCGTCATGCCCAGCAACCAACATTATTTTCATTGAATTAGTAGATAGAATCCTTGTGACAAATATAATTCTAATTTTATGTTCATTTGTATGGATAGTTTTAACTTGTTTGTTTACCAATAAATGCTTAATCTCAGGTGAATCCCATCTTGCTGAAGCCATCACTAACTATAAGGAGGGTTGCCTGTGGGCTGACTTCCCATCAGTAGAATTAGATCAGACCCTGTTGCATTTCTTACTTCTCTCCACAGGTTCTTGACCATGCTTTCTTTTTCTGCACAGGAATGGCCTTAACAGGGACTTTACATCATGCAACTTAAGGTTCTTTTCCTGGGACTCTAAAATGCATGTGTCTTCCTTTTCTTCTGGTTAGCATACACTTAACGTCAGGGACGTGAGTGTGCACATGGAGCCAGATGATTTCCGATTAGCTGGCATTAGGCTCTACCTCTAAAAACTTTATCACTCTTATTACTATGCTGTAAATGATGTATATGCATGGGGGCAGTGAGCATGCCACAGCACTTATACGGAGGTGAGAGGACAGCGCTGTGGAGTTGATTCTCTCCTTTCATCTTTGCCCTGGTTCTTCTGTCAGTCATGTGCAGCAAGCACCTTTCCCCACTGCACCATCTCACCAGGCCAAAGCCTCACTCCTTATAGGTCCTAGCACCTCTCACCATACCACACCGAAGACTGAGTCGTCTGCAACACCCCCTCCACATACACACATAGACATACAAACCCTGGGAACAATCCACTGGAGAGCAGAGAAGTCTTCCATTTGTAATAGTTTTCTGGGAGACTTTGGTAGAGTTAGAGTTGTTTCTTCCATAAATGTTAGGTGGTGTGAAATGAATTTGTTGTCTAATGAGGAGATGCTAAAGTAAAATTTAAGTTTCCTAAAAACACGTGGCCCTCTAGGCCTCCCGTTGCTTTCTGCGGTGGCTTTGGGAGTTTGATCTTTCCCTGACAACTGCTCCTTAAAATTGGCTATAGCATTCCTTGCTGTTCCTTTAATATTTATGGTGCCTGATTGTATTATTTAATTTCTTGTGACTGATCACAGCTGAATTTATTGTTATTTTAATTCCTTTTAAAGGTGACTTGTTCTTCCTAAAATAGGGTCTCTGCTCATGTTAGAGATGTGTCCCAAGAGTGACTGCAATGGTTCTGGGAATGCTGGCATGTGGTGTAACTTTATGTTCATTTGCGCCAGAGTATTCTCTGACTTCCACTTTATTTCTTCACCTAAAGAGGAGTGTGTTCTTTGCTCTGGAAGAGTCTACAGAGATCTTGTAGTTAGTACCTTTCAAATTAATTTTACTGTAGCCAGAGAATATATATTTTCATATATATGGCTTGGATCCTGTTAGCTTTTTTGAGACTCACTGCACTGTCCATGTTCTGTGTGCTCCCAGACAGCATGTGTTTCCTGTAGCTGTTAAACGTGTTTTATAAATCTTGATTGAGTCAGAGTTTTTATGGAAACAGCTCCAGAACAGAAATGAAAGGTCATCAGAACATGATTCTGATTCTACATTTCAGAGCCCTGCTTCCAGAAGAAAAACAAAAACAACAAAAAACAAAACAAGCAACAACAACAACAAAAACCCAATTTTACAGAATAGCTGGAAAGAAAATCAGCATGGCCATTATTGGTCAAGTTCTTTGGACCCAGTATTCGGATAGTCAGGCTGGATTGTACCACAGTGACTAACATGCCTAGCATGTCAGTAGCATTGACTAGCTAAGATTCTTCTTCCTACTGAGTATCTGTGCAGGTCAACCATGGCCCATGCCATCACAGTCCTCAGACAACAGACTGGGCACACCAGCCAAGAGTGCACCATAACCCCCTTGTCTTTAAGGGAGGCACTTCCACCTTAGAATGTTCAGAGAGGATGGGGAATATTGGAGTCTCTTGTGGGCAGGAGGGCTCACATTGCTCCCAGGCCCCTCTGGTATTACATAAAAGGGAGGTTTATATGGTCAGCTGTTCAGCCCAGTCTGCTTGGCCTGAGACACCCTGATCTAAGAGGTAGTGACACCATGGAGAGTTGAAGGCACTATCTGATCTTTGTTCTTACACTGTGGTCTTTATATGGACAGAAGGCATGTGTCTTACAGTGTGCCCTAGCTTATGTGGCAAAGGAAGGTTAGGGTTGTTCTGATGATCTTTTGGATGGGGCCTTCTCTGGCCTATACTGGCCAGGACTCACCTGAAGACTTACTTGAAGGGGACCTGTTATGAATGCAACCTGTCTTGGGCTCACCATTCTCTGTCCA